AGCACCACATAAGCAAAAAGAAAAAAGCCGGAAGTGGCGCTGTGGCTCAAGTGGTAGAGTGCTAGCCTTGAGCTGAAGAGCTGAGGGACAGTACCCAGGCCGGCCCAGAGTTCAGGCCCCATGACCGGACCCAAAAAAAAATAATTCTATCTAGGCTGCAGACTTAAAGACATCTGTACTGAAATTCAGTCCCATGTTGCTGCCTGATCTTTTGTAGGTTCCACTCATGAAATCAGTGTCTTGTTGCATATTATCAAGAAGTATTTGAGGGCTGGGAAGGTGGCTCAGTGGTAGAGTGCTTGCCTTGCATGCATGAGACCCTGGGTTCAATTCCTCAGCACCACATAAGCAGAAAAGGTTGGAAGTGGCGCTGTGGCTCAAGTGGTAGAGTACTAGCCTTGAGCTGAAGAGCTGAGGGACAGCGCCCAGACCCAGAGTTCAGGCCCCACGACCAGCAAAAAAAAAAAAGAAGTATTTGAATCTTTCTCTGGTTTTTACTCTGTCACCCTGCAGGTCAGTGTCTGTCTGGAAATTTCTATGTGAGAGGTGATGGCACCAGAGTCTACTTCTTCACACAGGGTATGAAAAATATTATCTTTATTTTTGCTAAAAATACCTGAACTACCAAGTCAGATATGTCATCTGACATATCATCTGACCCTCCTGCCTTGCAGGCTGCCTTTTCCCTGCAGGCCCCTTTTCTGCCCCCTCCCCCACTATCCTGGAGCCATTCTGAACCACTTACTGTCCCCACTCCAGCCGTAGCTTGTGCTACCCTTTAGCCATAGTTTTGCCCTATCATTTTGTCCAAAATGGGAACATGCTTTTTGTTTAATGACTCATCTCTAGTACTGTTAACCTGTGCATGATGCTGGGCTTTAGGTAGAGCTGTATCAAGGTAAGTCACTTCCCCTAAGCTTCAGGAGCTGCTTGCCTTCCCTGTCCACAGGCTGGGCCTCCATGAGTACTTGCATATTCCCCATTACTTTATTGGGTCACAGATGCTGAGCCTTTGGCTAAAGCAATGGAAGCTCTCTAGTAAAATATTGTTGTAGGGGACTGGAAAGGTGGCTCAGTGGTAGAGTGCTTTCCTTGCATGCATGAGGCCCTGGGTTCAATTCCTCAGCACCACATAAACAGAAAAGGCCAAAAGTGGTGCTATAGCTCAAGTGGTAGAATGCTAGCCTTGAACTGAAGAGCTGAGGGACAGCGCCCAGGCCCAGAGTTCAGGCCCCACAACTGGACCAAAAAAAAAAGGAAAACTTGAAGCTGGGGCTGGGAATGTGGCTTAGTTGGTAGAGTGCTTGCCTAGCATGCATGAAGCCCTAGGTTCGATTCCTCAGTACCACATACACAGATTTAAAAAAAAAAAAAATAGAAATGCCATCCAGTCTGTTTCTCTTTAACAGCTGAGCCTTACCTCACACTCAACAAAGGGTCACAGTGGAAATTTTAAAGACGAAAATATGGACTTACTGGACACTTACGCAAGTGATCTCTGGAGAGAATGACAGGGGAGTGTGGCAGATGTGCAGAGCAGAGCAAGAGGCATGAGGTAAGCAAGACAGAATGAACAATGCTGAGGAAGGCGGGACAGATGGGGACACATCTAACCAGTACAACAGGTCGAATGGGTACCCAAATGAGGGAGGCAGCAAGCTGAAAAACCGAGAGTAACATCCAGGTTTCTAGCTATGACCTAACTATGGCGAGGAGGGCTGGGGGAGGGCTAGTGCCATAATTAGGTCTTTAATGACGAGAAGGAAGAGGAGATTTCAGAGGTTGGAGTGAGGAATAAGAGCTTTGGCTCCGGCCACCCACAGGCATCATGCATAGACATGTAGCAGCAACTTTGAAACAGAAACGCAAAAGGGAGCATTTCAATGAGGGAATGGCCAACATGGAGACCATGCTGAAGTCAGGGTCATAGGATAAATCAGAGTTAGTGAAAACAGAAGGAGCCAGAATCATGGAGGAAGCCGCAGGAGAAGAGCGCTTTGAGGTGAAGGCGTAGAGGTGGGCTGCTGTCTACACAGACAGCCATGGTGGATGTCAGAAGTGGTAGAGTTCTGGGAGGGTTTTTTTTCTCTCTCTCTCCTCTGCGTCTGTTTTTTTCCTGTTTGTTTTTGTTTGTTTGTTTTTCCTTGCTGGGGGTGGAACCCAGGGCTTCATGCATACTAGACAAGCATGGTATCACTGAGCTAGACTACTGGTCCCTATATTTTTTGTAGTTTTCACTCTTCTATTAATAACTACATATTGCCCATTTTTTATTCTAAAACATTTTTCTTAAAAAACAAGCACTTGTTATTAGAAAAATAAAGGATGCCAGGTACTAGTGGCTCCTACTTGTAGCTACTCAGGAGGCTGAGATCTGAGGATTGTGGTAGGCCAAGCTCTAGAGTGAAGATGAGGGGCTGGGAGGGAAGGGGCAGGTGCTGCTGTTCCTGGGGTGGGGAAGGGGAGGTGTCAAGACTTCTGTTTGGACATACCATGGTGCTGGAGGCATGTCCAAGGAGGGGACAGGCAATGCTGGATGCCCATGGATGCTGCAAGGTGCAATACTGGATCAACATTTAATTTCTTATTTTTTGCCTGTGGTGAGAGATAATACTGGTCCCTGAGGGACAACACAAGTATTTATTGATTATTGAAACTGAGGGGAGCCCTGAATAAACCCTCTATTTTTGCTTGCTTTTAGTCACTTGCTTTTTTCATCAGCTTTCAAAGTTACCTAGCTAAGGGCCTCAGGAGGTTGAGATATGAGGATTATAATTCCAAGCCAGCCCAGGCAGAAAAGTCGATGAGACTCTTAATCTCTAATAGCCACCAAAAAGGTGAAAGATGAGCCATGATTCAAATGGGAGAGTGCCAGTCTTGAGTTCAAATTCCAGTATTGGAAAAAAAAATTAAAGTTACCTAGCTAAGCAAAGCATTCCCATTGGCTTTACTGTAGATGGCACTGCTGATGTGTGTGGGTCACAGTAATGGTTCCCTAAACTGATTTTCAGCCTTGTTTATGTATAAGGCAGTTCAAAGGCTGTTTTGGCTGGGCCTATGAATTAACTAAAAACTGGGCATCAGGTAGCCACCTTTTTCATCTGTGCTGTTTGATCTGAGCCAGTCTCCACTTCAGTCACTCTACAATCACCTTGTGCTTCCAAGAAAGATAGAATTTGCTGACAACTATTGTGACAGGAAGCAAACTGCCCTTCAAGCAAGAAATGCCATCCTCTTATCATCTTAAAGAAAATAGCCAGCAGCTCAGCAGTCCACCCGCCAGGCAGGCTGTGCCTGTTCTGTTCCAGTGGTAGAATACCAATGTGGCCCATATTCTTCCAAGCACAAAGGCTGAAATAATGATCAACCAAGCCCTATGTTAGCCAGGACTAGTTTAATTTTGCATACCTTTCTCACCCCCTTCTTCAATTCTGCCTATTTAACCTGAAGCCAATATCTGTGCTCCTGGAGATGACTGAAGATGTACTAGAGGGTCACCTTCCCATAGCTGCCATATAATAGAACTCCTCTCTCTGCCCTTCACAATGTCTCTTTATTTGGTGGATAAGGGTGAGTGGACAGACGGAACATGGAACTCCTGGACTTTGGGCCTGAAATCTAAAACCCCAGTGTCACTTAGAGATAGCTCAAACTGGTTGAAACCACATACCTTCACTTAGGTCTGTGTCAGCATCAAATAGGTAACGTTTCTATGTCAGAGCACACAGGCCACCCTTTATCTGGATGTAGGTCCTGTGAAGAGCCATGAGTTCTGTAGTGAAAAGCCTGAGATAGCACCACTTTCCTAACCTCCAGTCACCTCTCCCCTGAGCCCAGACCAACCTGTACCCATCCCATAAACACCTATCCTAAGCTCCATCCTCCAGGAGAAGGGCTTAATGAGAAGGGCCTCACCTGCTCATGCTGAGTCACCTAGTGAATAAATCCTGGTACAAAACTTCCCAATTTGGCTGGGCATCAGTGGCTCACACCTGCTACTAATCCTAGCTATTCAGAAGGCTGAGATCTGAGAATTGCAGTTCAAAGCCAGCCCCAGCAGGAAAGTCCATGAAACTCTTTTTTTTCTTTTTTTTGGGGGGGAGTGTCAGTCATGGGGCTTGAACTCTGTACCTGGGCACTGTCCCTCAGCTCTTCAGCCCAAGATGAGCACTTTACCACTTAAGCCACAGCACCACTTCTGGTTTTCTAGTGGTTTATTGGAGATAAGAGTCTCACGGACTTTCCTGCTTGGGCTGGCTTTGAACTGTGATCCTCAGATCTCAGCCTCCTTAGTAGCTAGGATTACAGGTGTGAGCCACCAGCTCCTGGCCATGAAACTGTTATCTCCAATATACTACCAGAAAACCAGAAGTGGTGCTGTGGCTCAAGTGGTAGAGTGCTAGCGTTGAGCTGAAGAGCTGAGGGACAGTGCCCAGGCCGTGTTCAAGCCCCATATCCAACAAAAACAAAACAACACTTCCCGATTCACTGGGAATGTGGCTTAGTGGTAGAGTGCTTGCCTAGCATGCATGAAGCCCTGGGTTTGATTCCTCAGTACCACATACACAGAAAAAGCAGGAAGTGGTGCGCTGTGGCTCAAGTGCTAAAGTGCTAGCCTTGAGCAAAAGAAGCTCTGGGATAGTGCCCAGGCCCTGAGCTCAAGCCCCAGAGTGGTGGTAGTGCACTTGCCTAGCATGTATGAGGCCCCACTCAATTCAGTGATTGACATATTGTGCACAGTGAGCTGTGTCAAATGTGAAAGAGAAGGATGCTGCAACTTTTCAATGGCTCAACAATTACACACGTGTGTGCATGCATGTGTGCGTGTGTGCGCGCACACACACATATACACGAATACCACAGTATATAATACGGAGAGGGGGAGGGAAGAGGAAGGAAGAGGCAAAGGAGGAAAGAGAGGAAAAAAATAGATTTTCCAAAATGCTACTTGGGAAAATCTAAGTAAAGGAAATTTTAGTATCTTGTTTCTTTTTTCTTTTCCTTTTTGTTCAAGACCAGGACTAAATTTGGTATCTGATGCTCTCATGCATTGGTTGGTGTTCGACTAAGTGGGCCTAGGTGCTGTCCCTGAGCAATTTCATTCAAGACTAGTGCTTTACCACTTTTAACCACAGCTCCACTTCTGGTTTTTGGTGGTTAATTGGTGATAAGATTCTCATGGACTTTCCTGCCTGGGCTAGCTTTGAATTGCAATCCTCAGATCTCAGCCTCCTGAGTAGTTAGGATGACAGGTGTGAGCCACCAGCCTTATTTTAACTTTCTATAGGCTTAATTTTTCAAAAAAGAAGGAAAGAGTAGTGAGTGAAGATGTGAATGTCAGGGTCTAAGTATGGTTTTATACATCATCAGTGGTTTTAAAATGAGATTGTACATACCTGCACTTGGGAAGCTTCCAGCAAAAGGCCAGGCTTCCAAAGAGTGGCTTGATGACGAACATTCCTGTCTGACTACTTCAGTCTGTCCACCACAGCTCCTGAGGCTAGCTCTACACTGACAAGGGCCAGCAGGGTGAAGGGAGGTTCAGGCCACAATGGTTGATTGGCGCATAGGAGCCAAGGGGAAAATGAGTGGGATTTGTTTTTTGAGTTGAAGATCTGAATGAAGATTGTTTCTGTGCTGAGTGT